TGCGCCAAGTGACGAGCATCACTTTTGTCATCCCGATGTTTTAAACCCGAATACTGCGCAATCGCGGCAGTATTGGCTAAAAATACTGGATAATGAAGCTCTTGCAAACCATCAACCAACCAATACCTGTTATAAGTGGATTCAACAACAACGCCTTTTAATTCAGAAGCATACGGAAATAATGCTTCATGAATACTTTGCAAATCATTGGGTAACCGCTTCTCAAAAACCACTCGATCGTCCTCATCTATGATGGCGAGAACGGAATTATTCGAATGTAAATCAATTGCGCTATACTTCATATTGCCTCCTGCTGGCTAAAGTTCAAATACAAGTTCGAACCTAAACCATACCGCACTTGTGCGTCAGGAGGCAATACCATCTCCTCACTGACCACAGAGTGTGGGGAACGCTATATGATTATCAGATATTATTTTATCGTTATATTCAATTCATTCTGTAGTAACAAAAGTAATATCATAAATAGGATGTACCCCATTATCACGTCTCCTACTGCATCCAATCAATTACACGGTACTGGAACAAGCGGAAATGTATCTTTGACCTGCCATAAAGTCGTCGGTTTAATTGCATTTTTTGTACATGCTGGTAGCCGAGGATGGATTAAAGTGAGCCAAGCCAACTAATGCATTTCGACATCTATCGTGAAGGAGAAGCAAAGGCCACGTAAATAACGGAGCTACTCGTTTTTATCATTGTCAAAAGTACAAGATATACCAAAAATCAACTTACTCCGACCCTGTGATTTGACACCATGATACCGCTTAATATTATATACTCGCTATGTATATCGATTTCATATTATTTTTAATACGACCGATAAACATTTTTTTCTAATTAAGCTCATAATGTATTTTATTCGACACCACTTACGCAGTTTTTTTCTTTATATCGTGATCATAAGCAGCGGTATAGCTTGTAACACCCAATCATTATCTGAATCATCTAAGTCTACCCCTACATGGCGTGGGCTATACACTGGGCATGGGGAGGCCTCTGGCTGCAACATTGGTGATGACAATGATTATCCATTTCATTTCAAACATCATATTGAAATATCCAGCATGGATGATGGCACCATGGCTAAACTAACCGATGAGAGTGGTCGTGTTTATCAGGGCGTGATAAAAACATATAAAAAACATCTCAGTCTATGGGCTACATCGCAACAGATTATTTTTAAACCCATCGACCCCAAAAAAATTCGTGCAAAAGGTCGCTTAGGCGATGCGCCAGAAATAACTTATTACAATGACAACCAAGGAGAAATACCTAAAAAAATTTATATTGACTTTGCCGTTTGCAGAGGCGTGCACAATGGTGATATCGATTCCTTTGTCCCCAATGAAAAATAGAGCGACTTCTCATGTCAACAATGGTGCCATTTTTTGCACCGACAACAAACGTTTTTATTCTTTACTCCTCATCAATATAACAGAGGTATAAATAGGGTCAGATACAATTTATACAACGCAGGCCCCGTTATTTTCAAATCACTGCCATCAACTTTTTGAGGCTTTAGAATCGGAAAATCAATAATGCATATAAAACATTAATTTCATTGAAATAAAATTATTTACGCATTATTTAGGAATTTGCACGCCTTGATCGATCCACTGAAACGATAATTACACCTAAGCTTCCGAAACCACATCGGATTTTTCAGCGGTGGTTTTGTCTTGTTTAATCAAAAGACGGCTCATCAATAAACCCAATTCAAACAATAACATTAATGGGATGGCAAGCATAAATTGTGACAAAACATCAGGTGGCGTGACAACCGCTGAGATAATAAAGGCCAATAAAATCACATAACGCCTTGCACCACTCATTTGTTCAACCGTGGTAATTCCCGAATGATTGAGCAAAAACACTAAGATAGGAACTTCAAAGGCCAAACCAAAAATCATAAAGGTATTGAGGACAAAACTTAAATATTTTTCAATATCGGTTGCCATTTCAGCAGCTTGCAGGTGTGTGCTTGCCAGAGCCATAAATTTAAAAACCGTGGGCAGAACAAAAAAACTGGCAAAAGCCATCCCAGCTAAAAACAACAAAAAGCTGCTTAACACGAGCGGAAAAATAAAGCGTTTTTCGTGTCGATAAAGCCCAGGTGCCACAAAAGCCCATATTTGATACAAAATCACAGGCAATGCAATCACAAAAGCGACATATAAGGTCACTTTTAGGGGGGTAAAAAATGATCCTGTTACATCCGTCACGATCATTTTTGAGCCTTTGGGTAAGGTTTTGGCTAGTGGCTCTGAGATGATATTAAAGATTTGAGGAGCCCAATAAGCCAAACCTAAAAAACAGACCAACACCGCCCCAACCGCGATCATCATGCGGGTGCGTAATTCGGTTAAATGACTAATGAACGCCTCTTCGGGGGCAAACTCTTCTTCTACGCTGTCTTCTGGCTCGTTGATCTGATCAAGCTCAAGTTGCTCTTGGGGTTTGGCTGGGGGCAATTGATTCATAACTTGTTAAATTGCCTACAAAAATTTTGTTTTAGACGCATTTGGGCGATATTTTTTGACGCGAGCTGATGCTGATAAAATTTGGCTTTTTTGTGCAACAGCGTTTTTGTACCATATCGGTCGCGAACCCTGTCTGACACGCCAATGTTTTTGTACAGGCTTTAGTTCAGCCAATGAAGGCGATGTCGCATAACTTTTATGGACTGTATTGCCATCAAAGACACTGTGAACCTCTTGATTGAGATCATTTGCGGTTGCTTGTATAGTGGATTGAACATTTTTTAGCTCACCTTCAAACTCACTTTTGAGGTTTTTGAGCTCGTCTAACTCAATATGGCGATCAACCTCCAAGCGCAAATCCCGCATATAACCTTGAACGCGCCCATACAATGTGCCTATCGTCCGCGCAACCTTGGGCAAACGTTCTGGTCCCAACACAATCAAAGCCACCACCGCCACCACACCCATTTCGGTCATCGAAAAATCAAACATTTTTTAACCGTATGATTATGATTGAATTTTGTCTTTTTCTGCTTCGATAACTTTGGTTTTGTCGTCACTGCTGGCATCGGCAATGCCCTTTTTAAAGCCTTTGATCGATTCACCCAGATCACTGCCTAAATTACGTAATCGTTTGCCACCAAATAATAAAATCAGCACGGCTAAGACAATTAACCAGTGCACAATACTCATAGAACCCATGTCTTACTCCTTGATTGAAGACTCAAAATGTACTTCCTATCATACACGCTCAAAATGACAGAAAAAACCTTATTTGATGATAATTTCATCATCTAACAACAAAAACATACTTATTCTACTAAAAAAACACATGAACATAACTCATGTACAGCCCAATAAGCACCTTTAACCAGGAATGGTTGCCCATGGCCGTGGTCCTCCCATCGCATGTAAATGCAGATGATAAACTTCTTGTCCGCCATCAGGTCCACAGTTGATGACCGTGCGAAACCCATTGGTGCACCCTAACTCTTGCATCAGTTGAACAGCTAAAAGCTGCATCCGACCTAACATCTGCGTTTGCTCTGTCGTACAATCTGACAATTTTTCAATATGTTGTCGCGGAATGATTAAAATATGAATAGGGGCTGCTGGACGAATATCATGAAAGGCAATAAATTCATCATCTTCATAAATTTTCTTCGCAGGCAACTCGTCTGAGGCAATTTTACAAAAAATACAGTTTTTATCATGGTCACTCACGATGGATCCACTCCTCTTGCGTTTTTTTCAGCAATGCCAGACAAGCCTTCACGGCGAGCTAACTCTTTTAGAATATCGTCTGATGTTAGATTATATTGAGCCAACGTGACTAACGTATGAAACCAAAGATCGGCCACCTCATAGATAATCTGCTGAGTTTGCCCGTCTTTTGCGGCTAATAATACCTCTCCTGCTTCTTCTGCAACCTTTTTAAGCACAGCATCAGGTCCTTTGTGTAATAACTTTGCCACATAAGACTGGCTTGGATCAGCACCTTTACGGCTCGCAATCACACCATCTAAATGCGACAATATGCGTCGGTAATCCGATAAATCAGTCATTTTTGTTCCCATACATCACTTTTGGATCGATTAAAACGGGTTCAACAATAACCCAATTGTTTCCTTCGGGCGTTTCTTGCATCTGTTTGTAAAAACAATTTTCTCGCCCTGTATGACATGCAGGGCCTGAATTTTGAACTTGTAGCAATAAAGCATCCCCATCACAATCCAAACGAATATCAACTACTTTTTGTGTGTTACCCGAAGTTTCGCCCTTGCGCCACAAACCATGGCGTGAACGCGACCAAAATACGGCATTTCGTGTTTCGACAGTTTCAATTAAGGCTTCATGATTCATCCATGCCATCATTAAAACTGTTTTGGTATCATAGGCTTGCACAATGGCAGCTACCAAACCCTTGTCGTCCCATTTTATATCAGCTAACCAAGCAGGTCGCTTACTCATAACTTACCTTTTAACAAAAAACTCTATAAAATCAATAAGAAACTAGGTCATTCGGACACATACACCATGAGCATGTAAGTAGTCTTTGGCTTCTTGAATCGAGTGTTGACCATAATGAAAGATACTCGCAGCCAAAACAGCATCGGCATAGCCCATGGTCACACCATCGAGCAAATGTTGTAAGTTGCCTACCCCCCCTGAAGCAATCACAGGAACAGTGACTTGCTGAGAAATTTGCGCTGTGAGTGCCAAATCAAAACCTGATTGCGTGCCATCACGATCCATACTGGTTAATAAAATTTCACCAGCTCCACGCGCCACCACTTCTTTCGCCCAAGCAACAGCATCGATGCCTGTTGATTTACGCCCCCCATGGGTAAACACCTCCCATAACGGCTCCTCACCAGGCAATGAGACCTGTTTGGCATCAATGGCAATCACAATACATTGCGAGCCATAATAATCACAAACATCATTGACCAAATCAGGGTTTAAAAGCGCCGCCGAATTGATACTCACTTTATCGGCTCCAGCATTCAGCAAGCGGCGTACATCTTGGTTGGTGCGTATCCCCCCTCCCACCGTTAAAGGAATGAAGGTTTGCTTGGCAACTGCCTCGATCATATGTAAAATCAAATCTCGGTCATCAGAAGTGGCAGTAATATCTAAAAAGGTAATTTCATCAGCACCTTGGTCGTAATATCGCTTAGCCACCTCAACAGGATCACCTGCATCTTTGAGCTCAACAAAATTAACCCCCTTGACAACTCGACCGGCATTTACATCTAAACAAGGAATGATACGCTTGGTTAACATAATTTATTTTTATGCCATTTTTTCAGATACATAGTCTAGTGCTTTAGCAAAATCTAAATCACCACTATAAATCGCCCGACCACAAATCACCCCTTCTATGCGGGTTTGACCATGTTCACACAAGATTTCAATATCTTTCATGCCGGCTAAACCGCCACTAGCAATCACAGGAATGTCAGCAGCCTCGGCCAAACGTAATGTGGCCTCCCAGTTAATGCCTTGCAACATCCCATCTCGACCAATATCGGTATAAATAATGGATTCAACACCATAGTCTTCGTATTTTTTGGCCAAATCAATCACATCATGACCTGTCATTTTACTCCACCCATCGGTAGCGACTTTGCCATCTTTGGCATCTAAACCGACAATGATTTGCCGTGGAAAAGCCAAACAAGCGTCTTGTAAAAAACCAGGGCTTTTAATCGCTGCCGTACCAATAATGACATAAGAGAGACCATCATTGAGATAACTTTCGATGGTGTCTAAGTTGCGTATCCCCCCCCCTAACTGAATGGGGAAATCTTCGCCAATTTCAGCAATTAACTCTTTGATGAGACCTTCATTTTTCGGCTTTCCAGCAACAGCACCGTCTAAATCAACCAAATGCAGACGCTCTGCTCCCAAATCAACCCATTTAAGAGCCATTTCAATGGGGTCCTCAGAAAAAATGGTCACCTGATCCATATCTCCCTGCACAAGGCGAACACATTTGCCATCCTTAATATCAATCGCTGGAATCAATAACATGATTTATATCTATTAAATTTATAAAAATAACCCTAATTTAGCCAATAAATACGCATAACCGCACTTATCGGATCGACTAAGGCCGCCACTTCAAAAAATTTTCATAAAGCTTAATCCCAACCGCACCACTTTTTTCTGGGTGAAATTGAGTTGCAAAAACATTGTCTTTGCCAACACAACTCGCAAAATCAACACCATACTGGGTCGATCCTAAAATAATCTGTTCATCACATGGATGAACATAATAACTGTGAACAAAATAAAAATTAGCCAAATCAGCTATCCCAGCCCACATTGGATGATTTTGTACCTGTTTGACTTGGTTCCATCCCATATGCGGTACTTTGAGCGTATCGCTGATGGCAAACCGATCAACCGTACCTCGATAAACCCCTAAACAAGTCGCTCCACCTTCTTGGCTGGACTCAAATAACATTTGTTGTCCTACACAAACCCCAAAGATAGGTTTGTGTTTCCATGCCAGATGCATGTAAATGTGCCATACATGCAGGCATGGCTCCTTGACCTGGAAGAAGTAATTTGTCGGATTTTTCAATATCTTCTGGGGTATGCGCCAGAATAATTGAGAACTGCCCCTCAACACGTTGAGCAGCCTCATGAAGAGCCTGCACGACCGAAAACAAATTGCCCATGCCATAATCGACAACTGCAACAACTTGACTCATGATAAGGCAATAGGAGAGGTTTTTTGGAATATCATTATAATTAATAGGTTAATTACAAGAGACCTTTTGTTGATGGAATGTGTGAGCTAGCACGTTCGTCTATCGTACAAGCCATGCGCAAAGCCTTGGCAAAGGCCTTAAAAACCGTTTCGCATTGGTGATGTGCATTATAGCCTCGCAGGTTATCGATATGTAAGGTCACCCCCGCATGATTGACAAAACCTCGAAAAAATTCAACCAATAAATCGACATCAAAATTGCCCACTCGCGCTCGGGTAAAAGGCACATGAAACTCAAGACCTGGCCTTCCTGAAAAATCGAGCACAACCCTAGATAAGGCTTCATCGAGCGGAATATAAGCCATGCCATAACGGCAAATTCCTTTTTTATCTCCTAAAGCCTGTGAAAAGGCTTGTCCTATAGTAATGCCAACGTCTTCAACTGTATGATGGTCATCAATATGGGTATCCCCCATAGCCTTAACGGTGAGATCCATGAGCCCGTGACGAGCGATTTGATCGAGCATATGGTCCAAAAAAGGAACACCTGTATCGAGCTGGGCAATTCCTGTGCCATCAATATTGAGATAGACTTGAATGTCTGTCTCACTGGTCTTGCGATGAACAGTGGCTGTTCGCATAATAACTGCTTAAATTAGAGAGGTTAATTTTCTATGGGTTAATGTGATTATAACTGAGATCGATAAGGTTGCGGGTAGATGATGCATATCTACAACGCACCCTATTCACCTCACTTAAGTTCATTTCAATTCATGTTACACCATAAAATACAAAATCATATAATATCCATTACTTACCATCAACCCGATAGGGTTTAATGACAACATAATAAAAAAGTACCATCGAAGTTAGCGTGTTTAAGATCAATAAAGCAAAGCCAAGTTTAGGATTAACAGCACTGAACATTTCGCTCCAGTCGTTCATCGAATGTAAAAATGCAGCCAAAACATAGCCACCAATCACCATAAAAATCGCTTTTTGCGTGTTTTTTGCCGTTAATCCCAAAAAGGCAATTGTGCAAGCTAAGGTCGTCCATGTTAAATGCCCTGAAAACTGAGTCACTGTCCGCGCCAATCCTACGCTAATCATATCAACACTATTGGCAAGCAAATAACCCTCACATCCCAAGGCTCTTAACACACCTAAAAGCCCCATTCCTGGTGCTTCTTTCATCAAATAGTCCAAGGATTCTAGTGTTGCAAAGCCAGTTGCAACCAAAGCACCAATAGCAATGCCTCGCCTTACCGACTGATGCCCTCGTAATAAAAAGTAGGCAATCACCAAAGCTGCTAATAATTTTGCACCCTCTTCAATAAAACCAACCCAAAAAATGTGCCATGATTGGTTAGCCGTATTGTCAGCTTTTCGAGATTGATTGGCCAATGTATTAAAGGTGCTAGCATCGACACAGGTTTGATTGTTACTTTGAATCGATAAAATAGAATTATTTTGTGTATTTTGTACAATTTGTAAGGAGCCTTGTTGCCCTAAATAGGTTCCAACCAAAGCACTGGTTACAGGATTTATAGCATTTTTCGACTTGAGTCCTGCTTGGTTACCCATCACCAACATCGAATCAAGAGGAGCTGCCACGAGCATCGAAAAAAAAGCACCAAAAATCAAAGCGATGAGTCCTTGTTGCATATCCAGCTGTGACAAGACTTGTGTCGTGTTTTGGATATAAAGTAGATAGGCTAATATGCCAGCAAGCGCCAGAAAAAAAGCACCAACAGGAATTGTAGCGGTATTACCGAAGTAATCACCACTAACAATCAGTATAACACCGCCAATAAAAACCAAAAGGGCAAGCAGAAGCGAACGCAAAAATGCGGAATACCGTGAGAGCATACGAGAGCCTATTTATTATTAAATTTACTTTTTCAAACTTTGACGAGTCTAAGTCTATCGAGCCTTGACTTGCATTTCTTGGTCTTATACCCACAGCTTACCCATACGATATAGGCTAAGCATGGTATCGTGATTGTACACAACTTTAGCCTTTTCGAACACCACTCAAAAATTGATTTTTTAAATGATACACTGCATATATCGCATAAGATTTCAAGATCACAATGATGAAGCCAAGAGTAACAACTTATTCATTAATCGCTAAAAACATTCCCCACCAATAATAAACAAGGTTGTTGATGTTGTTCCGAACTCAAAACAACTTCTGATTTTGCAAGTTGCTCTAAGGTTGCGTAGATATGAGAAACTTGTGGTGTAGAAACCGCAAAAACCAACACAGCTGAGGTATTTGCCGGCTTAAATTTTAATAAATTTTTTGCTAGCTCAACAAGTTGCTCCCTACCCATATAATAAATTTCGGTGTCTGCATGCGCAACGCTACTCACATCTGTTGCCAATGCCTGCGCTTTTGTTGCCAGTAGGACACTACGTGCTTCACCTCTTTTAGTTAAGGGTTTTTGCAAATAGGCACTGGCAGCTAAAGCACTGGTCACACCAGGAACAATTTCAAATGCAACACCAGCTTCACGTAAGGTGTTTAATTCCTCGTCAGCACGTCCAAAAACCATACCATCGCCACCTTTTAAGCGTACGATGACTTGATAATCTTGACTAGCGGTTAATAGAGCTGCATTAATGTCATCTTGTTTCCACGAGTGTTCTCCACAACGCTTCCCAACAGCAACCATTGTCGCTTGTGGGCAATAGGCCAGCATCTCACGACTAACTAGCGCATCATAGAAAACAATGTCTGCTTTTTGCAATAATTGCATTCCTCTGACTGTGATGAGGTCTGGCGCACCAGGTCCTGCACTCACAAAATAAACTGTTGAAGCATTCATTGTATTGATCGTCTTTTATTAATCGTTATTAAAAATTAGCACGCCTCAAAATGATAAGCAAAAAACATGCCAAAATCCATAGTAGCTATTGTGATGAAAGCAACGAAGATAGAATCTACAAATATTATTTCAAATCTGCTTGATAAGATTTTACGAAAATTTGATGACAAAAAACCACAAATACGCTCAATTGTTGTAATATTTTGACTCTTAATCATTCATTCTATTCCGGTTATGATAGAAAATATCCATTGGCTCGATATTGCACTCCTACTCATTTACGTTATCATGAGCATTGCCACATTTTTTGCCTATGCTTACGACAAAAAAGCCAGTGAGCGTAAAACATGGCGCATATCAGAGTCAACCTTACAAATCATGGCGTTATGTTTTGGTTGGCCTGGCGCCCTTTTAGCTCAGAAGTATTTACGTCACAAAACGCAAAAAAGAAATTTCCTGATCATTTTTTGGGGTGCGGTAACCATTAATATTATGATAACTTTTAATATTATTAAAAACATCAACCTGTTTTTAAAATAAAGCGCCTTCAAAAATATAACCCGTGATTCTGGCACTGCCATTGCCCATGAACAAATAAAGCGGAGTATTTCTTCAGATTTATTAATATAATCAAGTAGTTACTAAATCAATCATAAAATACAATTCATTTTATGATTTTTTGGCCAGTCGCTTTTTGGCTTCGGTAGCTTGTGTAGAGTCTGGAAAGTTTTCAATAATTAATTCTAAAGTTTCTTTGGCAGCTTTATTTTGCCCCATATCTTTTTCAATTGATGCCAAACTCAAATAACCTTCTGCTGCTTTGGCATGATCAGAATGTGTTTCGACAAACTCTGTAAAATATTTTTTTGCTCGAGTTTTATCACCTTCAATATAAAAAACACTGCCAAGACTAAATAAAGCATCACCTTGGTACTGACTATTAGGAAATTGCTTGACAAAGTTTAACAGCGCATTTTTTGCCAATCCCAACTCATTGTTTTTAATTTGTTTTTCAATAGATCGATAAGCTGCTCGATCGGTAGCTCCAGATGCCATTTGATTGACTTGGGCAGTTTCTTTACCAAGAGCAATCGGAGGTCCCAGTTTTGCATTCCTCGCTACGTTTGCAGATGAGGATTTAATTGCTGCATTTTGATCTATTATCGGTGCTTTAACTCCATTTTGAGGTATCGAATTGGTTTTAACAGACTTCTTATTGTCAACATAAACCACCTCATGATCCTCAGAATCATTTTGATGATCATTGTCACCATCAACCTGCGTTACAGGTGGCTTCGTAACTACAGTGGTTGCAGCACTACTTCTGTTTGCTAAAGTTGAAACTGCCGATTTTTCAAATTGATCCACACGTTTTTCTACTCTAGATATTTGAGCATTTGCTAATTGGGTGGACTCTTTCAGGTTGTTTTGTACTACCTCGTACTGCCCACGCAATTGAGCTACTGTTTTTCTCAACTCATCAATTTGAATTTGTTGATCCAATAGCGCTTTTTCTCGCGTGGCTAATTGTTGTTGTACTTGTTCTTTGTACTGTTTAAATTCATTGGTCAATGCGACGACTTGTTCTCGCGCTTGGCTATCTCCAAACAATGCCATAGCAGGCGAACTTAAACTAAGAGATACAACACAAAAAATTGCACTCCATTGTATCTGACGCTTCATTTGATTTATGCTCATATAACTGTGATCGATGTATTTCACAAAAAAAGCTAGTCAAGAGTTCTACCTCTTATCACTAGCTTTTTGAAAGTAAACCCGCTGTTTAACTTATGTCAACACTTTGTTTAATAGACAATATCTGCTCGACGATTTTGACGCCAAGCAGCTTCATCATGACCTAAAGCTTTTGGTTTTTCTTCTCCGAAACTGACTGCTTCCATTAAGCTTTCATCAACGCCTAATTGAGAAAGTGAGCGTCTAACAGCATCTGAACGACGTTGCCCCAGCGCTAAGTTGTATTCTGGCGTTCCTCTTTCATCGGTATTACCTTGAATCAGGACTTTATTACCTGACTGAGTAATAAATCCACTATTAGCTTTAAGCATTTTTTGGTATGTTGCTTCAACAGTACTGCTATCTAAGGCAAAATAAACACTACGATTAGCAGGTGAACCAGCTGTACTTCCTGCAGTATCAGCCGCTTCAGCATCAGCAAAAGGGTTTCCAGATGAAGAAGCTGTTGTCATATCAACTGTCTTAACTGTTGTATCGACAGTGGGTGCAGTGTAAGTAGCTGTTGCTGCTGCGGACTCAACTGCAGGAGCTGTACTTGTTGTTGTCGTTGTGGTGGTAACAGGTTGGGCTGTACTAAACGACTCCCGACCATCACGTAAAGGTTTTGTATAATCAATCGGTTGAGCTTTCTCTGCACAGGCAACTGCTAAGAAAGCAGCAACCACTAGTGTTGTGCGCGCAATCATCGGGTTCATTTAACCTCCATAAATTATATATTAAGTACCCAAATGGGATAACTTTGTGGCATTATAAAGCAATGTCGTGTTTTTTTCCTAAAACGGTGTAGAAGTATTCTCAAAAACAGTCATTTTATTCGTGGACAACAAAATCAATCGCTGATCATCCATTAATTCATAAACGGTCCCCAAGAGGCCTCGCGCACCTCTCCAGCTTTAATGGGAAGTTGATATTCAGGCCCACCATCTCGATCAACGGCAACAACAACTCGCCGACCACCTTGCTTGGTCGTAAAAATCACATACTGTCCATTGGCGGCAAAACTAGGCGATTCATCACTTGAGGTCGAAGAAATCGGGAAAACTTCACCTGTGGCAAGATTTTGGGTATAAATTTTAAATTGGCTGCCTGTTTGTGCGACATACACCATAAACTTGCCATCGGGTGAAATTTTGGGGCTCGTCACATAAGCGTGACGGAAAGTCACACGTTGCGCCTCCCCAGACTGTTCACCTTGCGTTGACATCTTGTAGATTTGTGGTGTTCCGCCACGATCACTCGTAAAATAAACACTACGCCCATCTGGCGAAAAAAATGGTTCGGTGTTTAAGTTGCCAACCCATGTCAATCGTCTTAAGTTTTGACCATTTTGATCGGCAATAAAAATTTGTGTGCCATCTTCTTTTGACAAAGCAACCGCCACGGAACGACCATCGGGTGACCATGCTGGCGCACTATTATTCCCTTTTTGATTGGACAAAATTGTCCTTTGTCCAGTAGCCAAATCATGAACATAAATAATGGGTTTGCGATTTTCAAACGAAACGTAAGCAACTTTACCCCCACTGGGTGACCATGCCGTTGAAATGATAGGTGCACGACTACGCAGGGCAACTACTTGGTTATCACCATCAGAATCGGCAATCACCAATTGATACTCACCATCGGTTTGGGTCACAAAAGACAAACGCGTATTAAACACGCCTCGTTGACCCGTTAATTTTTCATAAATAAAATCAGATACTTTGTGTGCAAGCTCGCGTTGATTTTTGCCACGTAATGCACCTTGCCCTAAAGCACCTCCTGATACACTGTACACAGCAACTTGTGCCGACAAGGCATCAGGGCTTACCGTTGCCATCGCGGCATACTGCGCTCCTAACCCTTTCCATTGCGCTGCATTAAAGGGCACATTAGCACCACCCGCAAAAGCCCCGTGCACAACAGAAAACCGTCCACTACGAGTAAGGTTTTGGCTGGTAACTTGTTTAACAAGTCCAGAATCACCCGCAAAGCTAGGCAAACCAACAGCCAAACGCGGTTTTTCACCAACTGATCCAACCCCTTGAATATCAACATCAATGGGTTCATTTTCTGTGCTCACTGCATCGATATCTAGCTCATTTTGAGCCAAACTACCCAGACTAGAAAACATTAAGGTGATACCAACTACCAACGGGCAAATGGCAAATTTAAAAGGTGAGAGGCGTTTCATAGAAGATTATTTACCGTTTATTATCGATCAGGTAGAAAATTCTACCATAAAATCAAATAAAAAATGGCGGAACAAGTCCCGCCATTTGGAAAACACCAATAGTACAAAGAGTTAGCCTCGTGCATCCACTAAGGCATAGGCAACTCGCTGACCGTCAAATACCATCAATGGGATCGCATCGCTGCCTTTGTAAGCTTTGATCGCATTGTGATAATCCGTCACCGAGTTAATATCTTCATCGCCGACTCGCAGAACAACAAAGCCCACTCGAATACCTGCTTGAGCAGCATTATTGATCGCTTTTTTAACCACGACACCTTTAGGCATGTTCCGAGCAATCGGTTTGGTGTTATCGGCAACACTTAGCCCAAGTTCATCCACCTTAGAGGCTTCCCCTCCTTTGCCGCCAGCACTGGCTACTTTCTGATCTTGTTGCAGCTCTTCAACCTTTAATGTCAAGTTGCGATATTGTCCTTGACGATAAATCCGCAGTTGAGCCGATTCACCAGGTTTTGTTTCAGAAATAGCACGTACCACATCGGTCGGTTGCATAACAGGTTGATTATCCACTGATAAAATAATATCTCCAGCCAAAACACCGCCTCGCTCTGCAGGAGAATCTTTTTCGACATTACCCACCAAAGCACCTTTTGTGTTTTCAGGTAACTTCAATGACTTAACGAGTTTTTCATCTAGTGGTGCAATTTCAATCCCGATTCGACCTCGAGAAACTTTTCCTGTTTTGCGCAATTGATCAACAATTTTCATAGCATCACTAATCGGGATAGAAAATGAAATTCCCATATACCCACCTGAGCGGCTATAAATTTGCGAGTTAATCCCAATCACTTGCCCGCGCATATTGATTAAGGGCCCGCCTGAGTTACCAGGATTAATCGCGACATCGGTTTGAATAAACGGCACATAATCACCTGTTTCACGTGATTTTGCTGAAACAATACCAGCGGTCACTGAATTCTCAAGCCCAAATGGCGAACCAATAGCAATCACCCACTCGCCGACTCGAACCGCAGCCGAATTCCCTAATGCGATCGCAGGGAGGTTAGGTGCATCGATTTTGATCAAACCAACGTCCGTTCTTTCGTCGTAACCAATCACCTTGGCAGTGTATTCTTTTTTATTGGTCAAAGTAACGGTAATTTTGTCTGCACCTTTGATCACATGAGCATTGGTCATAATATAACCATCAGGTGAAATAATAAAACCTGATCCTTGTCCTGTACTATATTCTTTGGGTTCACTGCGTTGTCTTGGTATGGCTCGCGGGTCTTGTTGTCTTGGCATGGGCATACCAAAAATTTGTCCAAAAATATCAAATGGATCGGTCATTCCTCCACCGCCAAACCCGCCAAAACCTTCAGGAAAACCACCGTATTGCTGCTGTGCAACCAACTCTTTAGTTCGGATATTCACCACAGAAGGACCAACTTTGTCGACTAAATCAGCAAAATCAGGCAATCCAGCTCGCCCCATCGTCACGGGAGCGGTCAATGCACTTGGCTTAGCAGGAGCAACAGTTGTTGGTGTATCGTTTTGGGCGATGGCAATAATGCTCGAAGCACCAGCAATAGCCAAACCGCCAAACATCAAACCGAACCAAAACTCTTTTTTACGGATATTTTTCAACATCATTTACCTCATATCAATTGATCTTTTTAGACATTTTGGGTTAGAAGTATAGTTTTCAAGTCCTACCGCAAATCATTCCCATTTTTAATGCCAATCCGACATCAACCTGTATTTTGTCACGCCTTTTTGTCTTGCAATAGCAATATCTTCATTATCGTTTCACATTCACGGTTGCGTCAAATTGGAATAACGTATCATGGCTCCATTTTGCGCACAAAAAATGCCACAAAGTCACACTTCATGGCATTTATCTTTTTGAATATTAATTAATTTTCTTAAAAATCAGCGTTCCATTTGTCCCACCAAATCCAAAAGAATTTGACATAGCGTGTTCAATGGTCAAATCTCTTGCTGACCCAGCACAAAAGTCTAAATCGCACGCTGGGTCTTGTTCAAAGATATTGATGGTTGGGGGAGATTTTTGATCATGAATGGCCAAAACCGAAAAAACTGCTTCCACCCCACCTGCTGCTCCCAACAGGTGACCTATCATGGATTTTGTCGAGTTAACCACCAATTTTTTGGCTTGTTCACCAAAAGAGCGTTTAATGGCGACCACTTCAGCCACGTCGCCTAGAGGTGTTGAAGTACCATGTGCGTTAATATATTGAACTTGTTCAGGTGCAATCTTGGCATCTTTGATGGCAAGATCCATGGCTCGGCGCGCTCCATCACCATCGGCACAAGGAGCTGTCATATGATTGGCATCAGCAGAACGACCGTAACCGATCAGTTCGGCATAGATCTTTGCACCACGACGCTTGGCATGTTCGTATTCTTCCAACACTAGAACACCACCACCTTCGCCCATCACAAAACCATCCCGACCTACATCCCAAGGCCGCGAAGCAGTTTTAGGATCATCATTGCGCGTCGAAAGTGCTTTCATGCTTGCAAACCCACCAATTCCTAAAGGCGACACCGCACCCTCACTACCACCTGCAACCATCACATCAGCTTCACCATATTGAATCATGCGAAACGACTCACCAATCGAATGTGTCCCAGTTGTACAAGCTGTTGATATAGCAAGATTAGGTCCTTTAAAACCGTATAAAATTGATAAATGACCTGAAGTCATATTCACAACCGTTTGCGGAATCATAAATGGGCTAATTCTTCTAGGGCCTTTGTTGAGATATTCGCTGTGATTGTCTTCAATGGTTGATAAACCACCAATCCCTGAGCCAATAAGAACGCCAACACGCTCAAAGTCTAGGCCTGTCATCTCCATGATACCTGAGTCTTTAACAGCATCCATACCCGCTGCCATTCCATAATGGATAAAAGGAGACATATGTCTTGCTTCTTTTGCCGACATATAATTTTCCACATTAAAACCTTTAACTTCTCCTGCGATTTTTACGGAAAAATTTTCGGGGTTAAAATGCGTGATGGTATCAATTCCTGAAACACCAGCTAACAAGGCTTCCCACGTAGTTTGAACCGTATTTCCCACGGGGCAAACAATGCCTAAACCCGTAACCACTACACGACGACGTTGCATATCAACTCCTATAATTCTTGTGCTCAAGACAAGCAAGCAGAAAACTTGATCTTTGTTATGATTTTGGGGCATCCTGACGGTATTCAAGATGGGCTTCAATACGCATCAACCACCCGTGCTAAGCTTAACCACTTAAATTAACCGCATCAATACAACAACATCCATCAATTAAAATGTATCGATTGTGAATATTGTTAGATGAAATCATTTTAAGTCACAATAGGTACGACCATGTAAGATGCCAACCCCCTATCGTAATGTCCTTGCCGTCATCTCGTGTAATACGTTGATAATCCATTGGTATTACCAAATCGATCATGCTCGATCACCCATGGCAAGTTTAAAAGTAAAACGGCCTGTTTTTCAACAAGCCGAAAAATGCTTTAGAAAATCTCAACTACGCTTTTGCATTATTGGTCACATAGTCAATAGCCGATTGAACCGTCGTCACTTTTTCTGCTTCCTCGTCTGGAATTTCAATACCAAACTCATCTTCTAAAGCCATGACCAATTCAACGGTATCTAGCGAATCAGCACCCAAATCATTAACAAAAGATGCTTCGTTTTTCACTTCAGCTAAATCTTTGCCTAATTGTTGAGAAATGATTTGTTTCACGCGCTGTTCAATATTTTCCATCGAGCCCTCCTAGGAAGTTATCTAAAAAACCACCTCGAATTCTATCAGCTTTAGTTCCGAAGTGAGCAAAATTACTGAAAATTAGCCAATCCCATTTCTTCACCTATCTAAGGTTCAATGCGATTAAGCAACTTTCTGAGTCGTATTCTACACTATCTTGAGGCTTATGCAGGAATTTTAGATCAATTTCTAACAATTTCTTGCTAGTTAGTAAAAATTGATAAAATAAACAATAAATTAACTGCAAAGACACTGCCGCAGCTCAAGCCACGAACGGCAATCATTATAACTTATTGAATTAACTCATATAAAGTCCACCATTGACGTGCAATTGTTCACCTGTAATGTATTTTGCTTGGTCACTTACCAAAAAAGCCACGGCATAGGCCACATCCTCAGGCGTTCCCAAAACACCTAAAGGAATTTTATTTTGCAAAGTTTGCGCTTGTTCTGGTGACAAAGCTTGGGTCATATCGGTTTGAATAAAGCCTGGTGCGACGCAGTTAATGGTAATCCCTCGGCTTGCGACTTCTTGTGCTAGCGCTCTAGTCATGCCTGCAACACCCGCTTTAGCTGCAGCATAATTGGCTTGTCCTGGGTTACCTGCTGCCCCCACGATCGAAGTAATACTCACAATGCGACCATAACGCTGCTTCATCATCACTTTAATGGCCGCTTTACTCACTTGAAACACCGCTGACAAATTGGTTTGGATAACAGCGTTCCAGTCATCTTCTTTCATACGCAAGGTTAATTGGTCTTTGGTAATCCCTGCATTATTAACAACGATGTCTAATTTCCCCTTTTGACGGATAATTTCATCAATCATCACTTGCACTTGTGTTGTATCGGTCACATCCAATATCACGCCAGTCCCCTGCTTGCTCGATAACTGTTGTGTAATTTTTTCAGCCCCAGCCGGCGTGGTCGCTGTTCCATAAACGGTTGCTCCCAAATGAGCTAAATGGTGAGCAATTGCAGCACCAATACCGCGTGAAGCTCCTGTAACGAGGGCAATTTTTCCTGTTAGGTCAATCATGGGAATATCTCTCCAAACTTGAAAGTTAAAATACTTGGTCGCTTTAGATTTCGAGTGATTAACAATAATCTATTGATATTCAAAGTTATACCAATAATGTTTTTGCTTGCACCAAGCTATCTGGGTCAACAATAGCGGTCGTTGTAATGTCAGGGTCTATACGCTTTACAAGACCTGTCAAAACTTTACCAGGTCCACACTCAATGATCACTTGAGCACCTTGCGATTTTAAAGCTTGTATGGACTCCACCCATCGTACTGGGCTACTGGCTTGCCTGACCAAGGCATCTTTGATCTGAGCAGGATCGTTTAAGACGGCCACATCAACATTATTGATGAGGGGAATTTGTGGGGCTTTGAAAGGAACTGAATCAAGGTAAGTTCTTAGTTGATCAGAAGCTGGTTGCAACAATGACGAATGAAAAGGGCCTGATACAGCCAAGGGCAAAGCACGTTTTGCGCCTTTTTCCTTCGCTAGAAGGCAAGCGCAATCAATCGCTTCTTTGTGTCCAGCTATAACGACTTGTGCTGGTGCATTAAAATTGACAGCCTCGACAATCTTACCTGTTTGTGCGCTAGCCATTTGGCAAACTTCCAAGACCGCATCATCGGATAAACCTAAAATTGCAGCCATAGCACCAACTCCTTGAGGCACAGCCGTTTGCATCGCTTCAGCGCGAAACTTAACGAGTTTAATAGCATCTTTAAAATCAATTACTTGAGAAGCAACCAATGCCGTATATTCGCCTAAACTATGCCCAGCTACCCAATGAGGTTTTTCACCACCTGAAGCTAACCAAGCCTGATACATGGCATAACCTGCTGTTAACATCAAGGGTTGGGTATTGACGGTTTGATTGAGTAGCTCAACTGGTCCTGTCGCGATCAAATGGGCAACATCCATGCCCAACACCTCACTGGCTTGGTCAACTACCTTTTTAACAGCAGCATCGTTGGCAAACGCATCTAACATCCCACAAGCTTGTGATCCTTGCCCTGGGAAAACAAAAGCAAATGTTTTCATAGTGAATTAATTGAAAAGAATAGATGAATTAAAATGACGAAATTTATTTGAGAAGAGGTACTGGTGTTTCTACCGCCTGCTCTGATTTTAAATGTAACGCATGATAAAGTTGTTCAGATAAACCATTTTCCACTAAAGAATGAGCTCGCTCAAGCGCGTGGCGGTAGGCATAAGCATCTGATGATCCATGACTTTTTACGACCAGTCCACGCAACCCTAATAAAGCAGCCCCCGCGTGAGTACGAGGATCCAAACGTTTTTTAACGCCCAATAAAACAGGTGCTGCAAACAGCAACAAGACTTTGTTAAACCAGTGTTTATTAAATTCTTCTTTAATGATCCCGCCTATCATTTTGGCCAAACCTTCATTCGATTTTAACACGATATTACCGACAAATCCGTCGCAAACTACCACATCAACAACACCTTCATAGATATCATTGCCTTCAACATTGCCGTAAAAGTTCAAGCCACTATTGCGCAATAATTCGCCAGTCGCTTTGATAACCTCATTGCCTTTAATCATCTCTTCGCCAATATTGAGCAAACCAATTTTAGGATCGTCACACCGCCCCATGGCGCGTACAAAAGCATACCCCATTTGAGCAAATTGCAACAAATGCTCAGGTGTGCAATCGACATTGGCTCCTAAATCTAAGACAGCGGTTTCGCCACCTTTGCTATTGGGGAAAAAAGTTGAGATCGCAGGACGGTCGATTTCACCATGCGTTTTGAGAATATAACGTGACACGGCCATTAAGGCGCCAGTATTGCCAGCCGATACACAAACATCGGCATGACCATCCCTAACTTGTTCGATAGCAACATGCATGGATGAACCACGTTTTTTTCGCAAGGCAACATCGATTTTATCGTCCATGGTCACAACTTCTTGAGTATGAACAATTTGGAAATGGCTCGGGTCTTTTTTGGCTTTTTTGAGTTGGCTGATAATTTCAGCCTCATCACCAACGAGTACAACACTCGCATTGGGGCAATGTTTTAAAAAATCTAGGGCAGCTGGCACCGTCACCGATACACCAACATCCCCACCCATGCAATCGATTGAAACACGAACTTTACGCATGATGTTATTTTTCTTTTTCTATTGTAAAAGCGGTCATTTCACCCTCTAAGCCTATTGCCTAAATGATAAAATAACCGCTCTGACAGATATTAATAAATTGCAATTGAATTTAGTCAAACATAAATTCAATAACTTAGCAAAAAACAATTAATATCGATTAATTTTTTTCGACGACCTTACGACCACGATAGTAGCCATTAGGTGAAATATGATGACGCAAATGTGTTTCACCAGATGTGCCTTCAACCGCTAAAGGTGGTTTGCTTAAAAAGTCATGCGCACGATGCATACCACGTTTTGAAGGTGTCTTTTTATTTTGTTGAACTGCCATAAAAAACCTCTAATCCCTAAAAAATATTCCAAAATAAAATATAAAGATAATCATCAAGTTAGCACTGCATTCACAGATAATCAAACTCGGTCATCCAAAGAATCGGTGATTATATCATAAATTGATGAAAAAAATAACTTAGCTGTTGGTTTTTAGTGTAAATACGAAACACAAACGGAGTCAATGTTTCAAGTCTTGACACCGTCCACCGCTCATGATCTTTCACAAAATCAACATACCACTTATCGGCTCAGTCTGTTATTCGAATTCGACATCCATCGCAAAGGTGAAACGACAACACAGGTTTTGCTATTTGCTATTTGCTATTGCAAGACGAGGAAGCGTGACAAAATACACGGTTGATATCTAAATAGAATTACATCGATGCTCGATGAATTTGCCCCATAGCGCCGGCCTCTTTTTCCGCGGCCGTTTGGCAAGTTATACAACGAGTTGCCATAGGAAAAGCCTGTAAACGTGGCATAGCAATATCCGCTCCGCACATGGTGCAACAGCCATATTGACCTTCATCCATCTGCAACAAAGCAAACAAGACTTGTTCGAGTTCGGCTTCTTTATGCTCCATGCTGGAAATTTCAATCATTTGTTCTGTATTGGTAACACCATCATCCCCAACGGTTCTCTCTTCATTGGTCACATGTGATTTACCTCCCAATTGAGCAGCAATTTCGTTTTTTAATTCATCACGTTTAGTTTCGAGTTGCTCTCTTAATGGTTGAAAATCATTCGTATTGGTTGTCATATGGACTCCGTCAGATTAAAAATAATTGTTGCATGAGTAGGAAAACACATGTTTACCACCAGCAAAATCGCCTCGATTATACAACGCTAGCTCTCAATGGTCTATCGATCTTTTTAAAAGTCATCATCAGCCACCGAGCGTGATACCAAAATTTCTCGGGAACCATTGCGCGCCATCGACGAAACCAAGCCAGCTTGCTCCATAGCTTCTAAGAGCTTTGCAGCACGATTAAAACCAATCCCTAACTCACGTTGCACTCGAGAAATACTGGCTCTTCCTGTTTTAAGGACCACTTGCACGGCTTTATCATACATCGGATCTGCCTCGCCTTGGCTTCCCCCCTCACCGACCTCAAAATCCCCGTCTTCTTTCTCACCCCCTGTGAGAATTTCATCGAGATAATTTGCCGAACCATGCTTGCGCAACTCTTCGGCTACACGATGAACCTCGTCATCAGAAACAAATGCACCATGCACACGTAGGGGTACACCCGTACCTGGAGGCAAAAATAACATATCGCCCATGCCCAGCAAACTTTCCGCCCCTTGCTGATCTAAGATAGTACGAGAATCAATTTTGGAACTTACCTGAAAAGCAATACGGGTTGGGACATTAGCTTTAATCAATCCTGTAATCACATCAACTGAAGGGCGTTGCGTCGCTAAAATCATGTGGATACCCGCAGCGCGTGCTTTTTGTGCAATCCTCGCAATGGGTTCTTCCACTTTTTTACCGACCACCATGATTAAATCAGCCAATTCATCAATAATCACAACAATATAAGGTTGTTTTTTTAGCGGTTCTGGCGCATCAGGTGTCAAAGAAAGTGGGTTTAAAAGAGGTTCTTCCTTGGCAATGGCCTCATCAATTTTTTTGTTCAAGCCTGCAAGATTACGCACACCCATTTTACTCATGAGTAAGTTGCGCCGTTCCATTTCCTTAACCGCCCAATTCAGCGCATTGGCCGCCTGATTCATGTCGGTTACCACGGGACAAATCAAGTGAGGAATCCCTTCGTATACGGACAATTCAAGCATTTTAGGATCCACTAAAATTAACTTCACTTCATCTGGGCTGGATTTATAAACCAGCGATAAAATCGTTGCATTAATACCGACCGATTTCCCTGAACCTGTGGTACCTGCGACCAAACAATGTGGCATTTTGGCCAAATCTGAAATAATGGGCACCCCTGCTATATCCTTCCCTAAGGCAATGGTTAAGGGTGCTGTACTATCGTTGTAGACTTCAGAGCCAATAATCTCTGACAGGCGCACCATTTGACGAACTGGATTGGGTAGCTCGAGTGCCATTAAGTTTTTCCCTGGGATCGTCTCCACCACTCGAATCGAAGAAACCGACAAGGCTCTAGCTAAATCTTTCGATAAATTAACAATTTGGCTACCACGAATCCCTGAAGCTGGCTCAATTTCGTAACGCGTCACAACAGGGCCTGGGTAGGCAGACACCACTTGCACATCAATATTGTAATCAGCCAATTTTTTCTCAATCAGTTTTGAGGTAAAAGCCATGGACTCTTCAGATACCGTTTCCATCGGTGGTTCAGGAGGGTCTAATAAGCTAATTGGCGGCAACTCAGGACGACTCTCGTCACGGAACAAGACTTGTTGTTTTTCAACTTCGACCCGTTCATGAATTTTGACAGGTTTAACGTTTCGAATAATTTGTACAGGTTGATGGTCTTCATAACGCGCTTTATACTCGTTAACTTTTTCTTCTCTTGCCTTTTCAACGATTTCACCAACTTTTCTATCTTCTTGAACAGCTTGTTTATGACGAAAACTCTGCACGATGTTCTCAAAAAAACACCCGATCGACTCACAAACATGCAGCCAAGAAAAACCAAAAAAGGCAGCCATCAAAGCCAACAAAGCGCACAACAATAACAAAGAAGCAATGGTAAAGCCAAATAATTGCTGCATAAAACTTCCCAACCACTGCCCAATTGCACCACCTGCGCCTGTCGGTAACCAAGCATCAGACGAGTGAAAACGTAATGCCTCCAACCCACCTGATGCAAGCAACAATAAAACAAAAATAACAGCAGACCAATATATCGGCAGTGTTTGCTCGGATTTTTGCGCTGCATACTCGTATTGCGCCGATTTGGCCAATCTTTTTAATCGATATTGATTAAAAAAATAGCGACACAAATGGTATCCAAGTGCAATCACAATCCACCACGCTGATAGCCCAATGACATAATACAAAACATCCGCCACAAAAGCTCCAAACATGCCTAACCAATTGTGTATGGTAGCTTGCTCACTGGCAACTGACCAACTCGGATCGAGCCTTGAAAAGGATAATAAAGCCATCAACAATGTCACAAAAGCCATCATTTGAAAGATTAAATTCTTTTTTTCTCCTGCGAGCAGAGCCATCACGCGTGCTGATAGGGTTTTACGAATAGAGTGTATCGGTGTCATAGCAGCAGCGTGAGGTGTTGCAGACGAAGCAGGAGCGGCATTACCACGCCCCTTAACAACCGATGCTTGATGAGAAGTATTTTTTGAGCTTCGTGCCATAAATCAATAATAGTAAGCGACAAGACTAAGGATATTCTATAATAGGAAGGTATTTTACTGGATTGCGCCGCATCAATGTTCGTGTTTTGATATAAAAACTTTTTTCGACCGAAATGCGCTTAAAAACTACCGCACAGTTTTCAGCAACGAAATCCCATCGCACTCCAAGCAATTCCAACTTCAAACAACTTTATTCTTATTTTACAACATCATGGCTAAACACATTCCTTTGTTAATTTTAGGTTCAGGTCCTGCAGGTTATACCGCTAGTATTTACGCAGCCCGTGCAGGCTTAAAACCCACCATTATTACAGGCATCGCACAAGGTGGACAACTGATGACAACCAATGAAATCGAGAACTGGCCTGCAGACCCAGGGCATCTTACGGGTCCTGATCTCATGGAAAGATTTTTACAGCATGCGACTGAATCTGGTGCAGAAATTATTTTCGATCACATTCATACGGCCAAACTCACTGAGAAACCGTTTCTTTTAGTGGGCGATAGTGACCAATACACATGTGATGCGCTGATTATTGCTACAGGTGCTTCCGCTAAATACTTGGGACTTGCTTCTGAAGAGGCTTTTGCGGGGCGTGGGGTTTCCGCCTGTGCAACCTGCGATGGCGCTTTTTATCGTAACAAACCCGTAGCCGTGGTTGGTGGCGGTAACACGGCCGTTGAAGAAGCTCTTTATTTGACCAATTTAGCCTCTAAAGTCACCTTAATACACCGTCGTGACACCTTTAAAGCTGAAAATATTTTGGTCAACCGCCTGATGAAAAAAGTGGCAGAAGGAAAAGTTGAACTCAAATTATTCAATACGTTAGATGAGGTTTTAGGTGACAAAATGGGCGTAACGGGTGTGCGCCTCAAAAATGTCAACGATGGTTCGACACAAGAAGTCACCGTTGATGGTGTGTTTATAGCGATTGGTCATCAACCCAACACAGAACTTTTTACGGATCAATTACTCATGAAAAATGGCTATCTTGTCACCAAAGGCGGTGATGGTGGAGATGCCACCATGACAAGTATTCCTGGTGTTTTTGCCGCTGGCGATGTACAAGATCACGTCTATCGTCAAGCTGTCACTAGCGCAGGTACGGGATGTATGGCTGCACTTGACGCACACCGTTATTTAGAAGCTGATCATGCGCAAGCTACTGCATAATACTGCAAAAAAACATGAAGCTCATTGAGATAAAAATCAATAACTTATTTTATTGCTTTTGTGTGACGAATACGCCATGTCGACATTCATCGTGAATACAAAACGAAGAGCGAGGCGTTGTTCGTCCTAAAAGATCAGGTGTGACCAATACACGATTGAAGCCAAAAAGAGAATAACGAAAGATCAAACTTATTATGTCTGAACAATCCCAAACCCTCAAATGGGTTTTTCTTTTTGGTCTTATCGTCACACTGGTGATCGGCACGTGGCTAACTCCCGTGCTGATGCAACTTTTCCATGGCAAAGCACCTTCTTGGGGGTTTTCCAACGCAGTATTTGCTTATTGGTTTAACATTGGCAAAAACCCACAATTATTCAATAAATTACTCATCTCAACCCTCCTCTCTTTTGGCATCCCTCTGCTGGCAACTTTTGCTTTGCTCATTAAACTTGCTCGCCAAAGCCCAGAAGCACAAACCCATGGCAGCGCAAGGTTTGCAACAACTCGTGATATCCATGAAGCTAAGTTGACCAAAGACGGTCCAAGAGCGGTGGTGATTGGGCGTATGAATGATGAATTTATCTTTCATAACAGCAACGAATTTCTCATCTTAGCCGCTCCCACCCGCTCAGGCAAGGGTGTGGGGATAGTTATCCCCAACTTGCTTGTGTATCATGAATCGATAGTTGTGCTTGATATTAAAGGAGAAAACTACAAACTCACCAGTGGCTACCGCAAAAGCCCCATGAATCAAACGATTATTTACTTTAATCCGTTTTCAGATACCAATCAAAGCCATCGCTGGAACCCTTTATCATACGTACGCAAAGAACCCGATAAACGAGCCTCAGACTTGATGAGCATCGCCACGATGTTTTTCCCGTTAACAGGTTCTGACAATGATCACTTTCAAAGCATGGCACAGTATGCGTTTTTAGCCATTGCCATGT